TAGCCAATTTATTTAAGCAGGAGACCCAGTCTACACACACCTGTAGGTTCTGCCAAACACACCGGCTTAGTAACTCACCAAAATCAAAATTATCAGCAAGAGCATGAGAAGTAAGAGAGCACTGGGAAATTAAGAGATGTCCAACAACATACATTCAGGCAAAGACAATCCACCCAGAAACATGTCCTTCCTCTTTTGCATCTCTTTTTCTCCCACCTATGTGTCTTCCCAGCTCGGAAGAAATATTCCCACAGCACCTAATTCTTTGCTACAAGCGATCTCATCAAGCTTCTGAAACCAGCATTTTTTGCAAGGAAATTTTAGATGACTGTGAAGTCAGAATGAAAAGATTTAAGTATTCAGCCATGCAGAGGTAAACTAAAGAGTATCTCTGTCCCAAGTGTACTACAAAAAACTTTTCAATGACCAAGAAAGTATATGAACAGGCACTACAGCATGAAAATGAATTATTCAAAGCATCAGTGAAACTATGGGCATCCACATCAAGTCTGTTGCAAGAGATGTAAGCGTTACTGAGCTACAACATTGCTTTCGCTCTCTGTAACTCATTTTGGCACCAGACATCAAGAAGGGTTCCTATCATCTACTTGACGGATTGTTTGTAGGATTTTCTTATCATAAAGACTTTTTGGATAAGTATTAGAAATACCTATATGCCCAACAAATTTTTTTAAGAAAAGGGAACAGTCACTAAATCAAGAAATGGAAGCTCAGAACTGGGAAGGGGGAGAATGACTAGAAAAACTTCTGCTTGTGTGATACAAACAAGATCATTTAGTAAATCTTTTGATCTCTTACTTCTGTAGTTATTTCAGATGTACCAGGACTAACCTTAAAGAGCTAAACAATTTGTTCTCCTATCCTACCCAGTTCCCAGCACTCCAGCTGAGTCCCACAGCCACTCATTTTCCCCACTCTGCTGAAAAGAGCTACTTTTGTCTATTAAGTTACTAATTCACTCATCCTGTGGCTACACAACACAGACTGCACACACATCCAGGGGAGAATTTGCCTATATAATAAAATGTCTGTACCTTACATTAAAATGCATTTCTTTCTAGGAGAAAAAAAAAAAAAAAGAAAAAAGAAAGGGTTTAACACTTTTAAGATTCACACAAAGGAAAAGTACAGAAAAGTCAGCTCCACGCACATGCTTTGTTTACAAACTGTTTTGCAGACTCTAGCAATACCTCTGGAGACCCTGCATTTGTATATAATTAACAACATCTTCTACTTGCACCTTGAGAACGTATTATTGCACATTGCTAATAAAGGTTGGTTTTTTGTTTATTATAAAAGAGTGTGAAAGAGGAAGAAACTTTAGTCCCACCTTCTAACGAGGAAGCACAGGCATACAGAGGATAACTGCTTTTCCTGAGTATCAGTTGTGGATCTGAAATAGATTCAGAGCAGAATCCCACACTGCTCCACTAAGAAATCCAACCTTTAGCCACAAAACCAACTGAGTACAAGTGTGATGAGGCAGAATAGACTTGCAAGGAAGTCTCATCTTTAGCAGCCTCCCTGGAAACACCATGCCTCTCAGGGATGCACAAGGTACTGAAACAAATGCCTTGGTATTCGAAAAAGGCCAATACAGAATATTCACAAGAATGAACTCTTTTTCAAAAACAATAAACATCTTAATCCCAGGTGCCTAGGAGTTTCAAACACCATTGAATAAACACCACTTCTCTGAAATACAGATGTTCTAGTTTTGATGTAAAATTTTATATATAATAGATACTATAGCAGTTACAAAATTTCTTCTTCTAAAGGCAAAAGCAAAGCCAAAGCAATTATGTTCTACCTCATGCAAGCTAATCAACAGACATATCTTGAACAAATTTTGCTTTGATTAAGGCATTGTCACTCCACTCCGGCATCCTTTTAAATTATATTGTCTCCACTGGAAGCAAATTTTGCTCCATTTGAATTGATGGTGATTTTACACAAGACCAAAAGCATGATGTATTTGAACGAGACATCAGCCAACCTCACCACAAAAAACACTCCTCTGTAACAGAAATACAAAGCAACATGAATACATATGTGTGCGCATATAAATATATAAAATTGGGTTTCATTTCATAATGCATTTGTAACAACAAGGTTTTGTGTCAGAAGTTTCTGCCATACTAATCTGACATTAAATAGCCCACTGATTTATTTTACCTAAGAGTCCTGAATAATGCGTTCAACCTCTGCTACTTCACTTCTTTCATCATCTGTAATTAGATCTAGTGCTGCTGCTGTTACAGTCTTCTGAAGAATAATTTAATCATGCTACCCACAAAATAGAGCATGGGGACATTTACTTATTCAGTTGAACTTTTTCAAACTGGAATGTAAATTTTTCTATCAAAAGGATTAGCCCAGTGGTTCAATGAGTGATGGTATACAGTGGAAATAAGGGACAAAGTCTTGTGCTCCTACTGCTTATAGGACTGTACAAACATCTTACAGTCTTTGGAAAAGTACTTAATGAAGTCTGTAGTTACGGTTCTTGAGGGAGGTCTCAGGCCCTTTGTATCCAAAACCTACATAATTTTCTGTGATTAAAACAAGAAACAGAATGAAGTTGTACTGAAACAGAAAGTACTAATGGATAATATCACCCATATTTCATGCAGCACCAGTCAGTACTGTAGAGTTTTAAACATCTTGGGCAGGGAAGCACAGGGTTTGGGAGGAAAAGCAAGAGACAGGTCAGTTCAGTCACTAACCCCCTCCAGCAAAGCGCTCTGAGGTATCTGAAGGAGTGGAATGTGGACCTAGAGGTCCAACCTACCACGCAAGCTGCTGTGCACGGTGGCACTAAACTCCAGACTTTGCACCCCTCAACTACAGCTTTCCCCACCGCATCTGCAGGCATCCCCCTCCACCCACGAGCTTCACTTACAGGGCAACACTCCTCTGCTTTGGCATCTCAGCACTCAGTGACAAAGGGAAGGAGACCCTGGCTTTCCTCCAGGCTTTTCTTTCTGTGCTCGACCAGAGCACACAGCCTAGTTCAGAGGGCAGGGAGAGGGGGAGCGCTCGGGCACAATACCGCAGGAGTCAAACATTGGTATTGCAAGCACTGAGAACTGCAGTATCAACAAAGTACAACGCACAACACTAATGCACAGAACATCCTATAAAATGCTTTGTCCCTTAGGCTGTTCTCACCGTTACCTGTGATCTCCATCACAGTACAGGAATAGAGGAGGAGACTGGTGTAAGAGAGCAAAATTATCAGACCAAATTTTACAGGTTTTGTTTCTTCTGAAAGATCCTATTCAAAGGCACTAACTCCAGTTATCTTGCTTTTGGAATGTCCCTTCCACAGCTAATTCCTTTAAAAAAAAAATCCCTTAATTTTATACAGAAGTACAAGAATAGTCTGTTAAACACTGGGAGCATTCAGACTCTGAGGATCAGAACAACTCGATGTGAACTAACAAATGCAGCACTAAATCTGTTTTTACAGAATTCTGCAGAAATGGGTAAAATCATCTGATTTTTTCTTTCAGTGGTATAATACTGGAAAAGGTTACCTCCAACACTGAGCAGGACTCCAGGATCTTACAGAAAATTACAGGATCAGCCACAAATATCAGATCTTGCCCGATTTACTCAAATGAAGCAAGAGTAGCCTACAATGATATTTTCCTATCAACTGACAAATGCTGCTGGAAAGAACTTCATTAAACCAGATTATCATAAATACATATTAACATTCTGTAAATTTGAAAAAAAAATGTGCTACCTGCAAAACTAATGTTTAGCAGAGCTAAGCTTTTTGCCATCTGCACTGAAAAGAGTAGTGGCAGCTAGAAAAAAAAAAAGAAAAAGTACTTTTACAAATTATGTAGAGAATTCCCTACAAGCCTCTTAGTAACTTAAGCACGAGCAACTACAGATTAAAGCAAAAAACTAAAAGCATTCTTAATAACTGCAAAAGGAAAAATATGGGATGTAAAATCGGAATGAAAATAATTAGTAAATAAATTTTAAAAATAAATGTCCGATTTGGCCCTCTAAACTCATTAAAAAATTGGAGAATAAATATTATGGGCAGATCAGTAGAGCACATTCCCAAAATAAAACAGACCAGCCAATTAAGCAAGAAAAGTTACTTCTATTTGCCAACCTCTCACAGCAAGTGCAGACTGTGAACAACTGATGACTTAATTGGCTCATTAAAAACTTCTGCTTAACCACTGAAGCACAAGGACCTGGAAGTCAGGAAAGCTCTATTCTACTCACAGCTCCCAGGCACCAGCTAACTGTGTAACCTTAGGCAAGACACACAGGGGCTGTTCTTTCAAAAGCTGAGCACATGCAACTGAATGAAATAAATGGCTATTATGAGGTTTTTTTTCCAATTAATGTAAAGTTCCGAAAAAACGTGAGTTTGGTAAATAGACTATGAAGCATTTCCTTTAATTCTTCATACAATTACAGACCAGCAAGCCTTTACATGAACAGGCCTCAGTTTTACTCAGGAATGAAAACTCAGATGGTAGCTGACAATTTCTTTTTTCAAAGCCAATGATGTAATCACTGAAATGAAAGCCAATGAAGGTGATTCCTCCCTCCCCCGCCTGTCTCAATTAGTAAGAAACAGCTTGACTGGGTCACTAAGTAGTTCACTTTTCAATACTCTTATCTTGAATTCTGAACATGGAGAACATTTTACTCTCAGTCCTACAAATTCCTACAATAAAATGCAATTTATTTATACTCTGCCCACATCAGGGTTAATTACAACCACGAGGTAACAGCAACTGCTAAACAAGAATTATTTTGATCTTTTTCTCAGATATGAGGAAACACACATGTATAAAGCCTGTAAAGGATGGTACAAAGGCATATGACATCTTTATCTGATCTTACAGGATTTTTATGTAGTCCTCTGTGAAAACAGGCATAAAAATAGAGAGAATGGGTGGAAAAATCAAGTAGTTTCTGAAACAGTAACTAACAGGCTGATTACCTGAATCTACAGTGACACAACATAGTCCTGGAAAACAGTAGCTACACTCTTGTTCCCAGGTCTCAACAGCACCATTTCATCAGACACACAGACTTGGAAGAAAGCATTGAAACGTGCATAATTAAGAGAGGGCTATAAACACAAAGAACATATTTCCCGTTCTTGTGAAGTCTCCCTCAAGGATTTCTAAAACTATAAAGCAAAACAATAAGCATCGAAATGTGAGGATATGAAGAAAATCAATACACACACATGAAAGGTAGATGTTAAGACAAAGCTTCTAAAGGACATGCCCACAGGAGCCAGCATCTTACATCCACATGTAGATCTGGGCACTGTTCTATCAAAAGCTGCTGAATAACAGGTTTATAAAAAATTGCCACCAACTGCAAATGTTTTAGAAATCAAAACTACTTTCAATTGCAATTTTATCCCTTAATGACTCCTGCTGTATCTCCAATATGATGCTTATATAACATTGCTGTCTTACTGTCAATGAGAATTCAAGATCAAAGGAAATATATTCAGTGTAACATAACACAAAGGAGGTGGGTTTTTTTTAAACCTTTCAAAATACAGATGTTATCACAAGAACTGTATTTGATTTTCCTAGGAAAATTAAAAAAGCTACTCTTTATGCCATTATCAGCACACTGTTAGGACAAGAAACATACCCAACTGTTAACAAGAAAAAATGTTTGCATTTGAACCCTCTTTCCCAGTTTGCCTACATCACACTAGCCCAGGCAAGTCAGCTGCTGCTTTTGCGTCCTTGGCATTATGAGGGCTACAACCTTCTAAAGAAATCCTCCGATGCTGTAACATTTTGCATTTCATACACTGGAGTGAGTCATTCCAAGTACATTTATAGTCAGAAATGTAACACCACAACACTACTCCCTAGGATGTAAACACATAGCTCCCATTGTTTGTATGTGCATAGGAGGGCAGGATATAGCAGTGATAGAAAACAAACCCATTAAGAAGAAATATTTCAAAATACACTGCTAAGCACACATCTAAACTGTATACACACATTATTACCAGTTTCCTTGTCTTACTTTCCTTTATTTGCTTAGGCTCCATTACACACATTTGCAGAAGAGAATCCTAACTGGGAGCTCTGAGAAGTTTTCATAGCATAAACTGCAGTACCATTCTCCAGAGCCAAGTCCTGTGTCTCATTTGTATGCTTCCTCAGAGTTTCCAACAATCTCTGCTTTGAAACAAATTCCCCAAGTCCAATACAATTTAATGGGGTTTAAAAGCATGTTTCTATTTATGGATCTCAAATTCTGGCAGGTATCTACTTCCTTACTTTTGATGAGTAGTTCCTATTTTGAACTATGGATGGTGGAGCCCTCCTATTACTCCATCTGTGGCAGATTTGTTTTTAATTGCTGAGCATCTGCAGTTGAAGAGGTTTGCAGTCCTTTTAAGCAGCTGAGCAAAGAATGAGCAGATGGTGTCAAATACAACAGTACTAAAAACCAAACAAAACCCCCTTTCCTAGGTTTGCTTTTTTTTTCTTTTTTAAAATAAGAAATTCTTGGTTTGAGAAGGATACTATGATTAGCCCAGAGAAATTAAGCACGTTTGCAGTATGCTGATATTATAGCCTAAACATTCTCAACGAACCATCTGTAATATATTCTAGTCTTTTCTAAACAGTATTTTTATAGAATGAGTGGAAATTGTGCCACAAATGCTAACTATTATTTAATTCTGTTGTAAATAAGTATTAAGCAGGAAAGCATGTATCTTTTCGTTAACAAGTAACAATAAGCAAGGATTACCTTCAATTGTCAATTAAACATAGCGCCTTTCAAGACATTACAGAAAAAGCTGGTTTTGCTCTAAGAATTTTACACATCCCATTGAGGCTGTTCCAGGTTTTATAGCCTTCACCTACTCCTATTTACAAGCAATGAAGAGAAGAGGGACTGTTTAACATGGGTAAATATATCACTGTTTCCCACGTCCTCATCTATCAGAGGTGGATGAAATCTCACACAGGTATTGTGAAGATAAATATATTAAAAGACTACAAATGACTTGCATATATAATAATGGATGTCAGAAGTAGCCTACAGAAACAAGACACAGTGGAACATTTCTAAAATGAGAGAGGTGCCCAACCTGCAATCGTGCACCTGTAATCAACTTCAGCTTCATTTGACCATTCAGTAGCTCTGACAAACAGCCTCATACTGGTATATCAGATAAGAACTTGCATTTCACTTCATTTCAGCAAAGCAATCCTTTATCTCCACAGAATATCAAACCATACCTAATTGTTATCATGTCTCCACGATCTCCTCGAATGTACCAGCTGCAGTTTACAGCTGGAGGATAGTTCAATGGCCAAGAAGGACTATAGATGACTCCCCGTCTCTCTGTGCGCTGTTCCAGTTCTCCACTGCAAGCATCTGTTAATAACGGGGGAAAAATATTATTGTTAATTCTTTGCCTAATCAACAATTCACATTAGCTACAAGTGCTTTCATCAATTTCTGGAGATTGCAGACAAATGAGAGTCAACAGTTTTATCCTCTTACTGCTTTCTTCCCTGCCCCAGTTTTTAATTAAGACACCCACTCTAAGTGTGGGTAAGCATAACCTGCATTTCAATGCAGGATCAATCAATAACCTTGCATGAATCTACCAAAGACTACAATCAATATTACTGCATGGATCTGCCAAGAGGATGTAATACAGAAATCCTTCTTACCAGCTTCCCAAAGTCTGGTTATATGACCCAGCAACTGAAGATCCATATTCAGTGTAAAGTATCTAGAAGCTCATTTTGTTGTAACATGTTCCTGGACATGTTGTTTATTTTCCTAACCATATGACAGACCCGAAGTTGGTTAAAAAAAAAATATATCCCCAACAAAAAAAAAAAAAAAAGTAAACTGGACTCCAACATTAGATGTTCATTGAACATTGCTGAGTACTCTAAACTCCTCCTGCACTCCCATAGATAGGAGAAATTTTCCAGACAGGGAAAGGAGCAAACAGGGCTAAATAAAGCTCAGTGTTTTCAAAGCACTTTCAGATCTTCCTATGTAAAACAGGAGGCAATTAAGGCTACATCAAATACTTATAATTTGTAATTAAGCAATTCAAAAATGAAAGTGAAATGTTCCAAGGACAAGTGGGAAAGCTGTTCTGATGGGAAAATGTACTCTCAGCAGACTTGTACAAGAGGGGAAATTCTGTGTAATGCAATAGCTATTCTGAACATTCTCCAAAAATATTTTTTAAACTATTTTTAAAACAAATGACTATCTAGAGCATGACTTGTGGATTGCAGCAGAATATTCCAATTTTTGACAGAAGCTTACTTTCTCGTAGCTTAAAAAGGTGACAAGGAAAAAAAAAAAAAAAAAGATTGCCTGTACCTCAAGTTTCCTCATATGCATCCAAATACTGTGTTATGAATCACAGATTTACAGTATTGCTTGAAACTCAGCCACAAAAGTGCAAAAATTCTCAATTCACAGTCGGGACCAGATTTAGCTGCACTGGAGGGACGGAGTGAAGAAGTGCCGGCAAAGCTGCCCGGCTGCACTCGAGTCAGGCGGCAGGGCTGCCTGCAGAGCTCCTGGCTGTGGCTGGGGCCAGGCTGCAGTATCCCCCACCAGTAAATCTGTGCCTGGCACTATTTGGTTTGTTCACAGTAAGCACTTTTGAAGTGAGAGCCACAGGAATATAAAAAGCATGAGGTGAGTAACTTACCTGAGGCAAAACATATAAAAACCCATTATTTTTACTCTCCAAGCAGGGCATTCCACTGAAATGTATGCATATAATTCCTACTAGTTTAAAAGGCCACAAAAGCACACAGAATACAGAAATACATGAAAACATATATTGCAAAATATTTGTTTGGAAAATAAAGTTGTTGGAAAAACAAGATCATTTTCATTATCACATTTCTAAAACCAGAGAGGCTCCGTGCTAGATGCTGCCAAATACTAAGATGCAGATGCAATTACAGAATTATAGAAGCAAATGTAAGATCCACAGGACTTTTCACCTCTAGTTCTCAGTTTGTTTAGGTCTATAACTGTGCTCCTCCTTGTCACTGCATCAATGTATCACAGCAGCATAAGAGGACTTAGAGCTAGCAACCTAAAAGGAGCTGGAAAGACTGTATTTCATAACTGCCAGATTACTAAAACTCCTCAATGAGAAGGAAACAGAATGCACAAAGCAGAAAGAGCAAATACACCAGACAGCACTATCCAGAGGCTTCCAGCAACACTTCTGCAAATATTTCTGTTCCCCTTGTACCAAATACTGTTCTGGGTTAATATCCCTTATTCACAGTATATGCATGAGAACACAGAACAGTATCATAACTACAGGAAGCTTATTTTAGTTTCCATTCTGAGGAAGTCCCATTGACATGCTGGTGACTCTGCACGAGCACTTCCACTCCGGCATTCATCAGTGCAGAGCTTTTATTCTCCCAAACCCTTGTTTCTTAGTTTTGTATTTGCAAAGTATACAAAGTATTTGCAAAGACCCCAAGCATTAGGTATTTGAAGGATCCCTGCTTTTTTTGAAGTAACATCACTAGCTTTTTTTCTTTTGCAATAATGTATAGTTTCCTAATTTGTAAGCAGTGGATCTGACGTAATGTGACGGCTCAGGTTCTCAGTGAGAAATGTTTTTTTTCTTATTAACACTGCACATCTGCTACGAACACGGGACATGGAAAGAACAGACAAAAAAAAAAAAAGATTTTCCATCTTAACAGAAGAATTGTAACTGTGAAAATCTAAGGACAGAAGCAAGGTAAGGTAAGCTGCACTAACACTATATGCCACTTGGGGCAGTTCATCTGACAATGGTCGATGTTGCTCAATACTTTCCCATAGCTTTACCCCTCTAACACACAACAAACATTCCAGACTTGCCCTACTCAAAATTAAAAAGACAACTGCTTTGCTCTTAAAAAGGCTCCTGATTTGAATGGACCACTAATCTGAATTCATATTGTCAAAATATAATTACACTATTTTAAGGATATGTGCACTGTCCCCTAAACCTACTGAAGCAAACGGAACAGACACCCATCCACCCCCCAAAACTACTACTGGGTTTAGTCAAACCTCACCTAATTGCCTTACGCTTCTGATGCCTTTCAGTTCCCATCAGTGCTCATTACTATGGCATTTGCAATAAATCAACAGATCTCCTTCCTAACCAGTGGTTTGCCTCTTTACTCCTTGTGTACCGACTGCTGTGTGGCAGACAAGGTGAAGTATCCGAGCACTGCTTTCAGCAGCTGTTCTTTCACCTACATACATTTTGAAAGAAGAACCTGTACTAAACAAAGCCTTCGGTGCTGCCAACAAAACAGACAAACCACACAAGAGCATAACTTCGTACTGCTGGCCTTTCAGTATCAATAAAGGGGCCCCACTTCCCTCCTCAGCTCCTGGCCATGAAGTTTGCAGAATCATATACGCGCGTAAGTATTGTGGTATTAAACTGGGCTTCGGCATGACAGTGTGATTCCTTAAGGAAAACAAACAAAAGCCTTTTCGAATTGCCAAAACATCTAAAGGAAAGGGAAGTCTCTAAATAGAAAGGTACAGTCCTGGATTCTGAAGGCCTTATCATCACCGACAACACACGAGAAGAGCGTTGACAATATTTTTTCAACAATTGTTCTGTAACTCTTTTTCTGCAGCCGTTCTGAACAAACCCAGAAGAAAAGTTAAAACCCAATTTACTAAAAACTCCAAATTGCTTACATTTTCCACATTTAGGATTACTGGAGAAACATAAGAGAATACCAATACTGATACCAGGGATTGGTGTTCTCTTATATGGATTGGCAAGCCAATCCACCAAAAATCTTAACTGAGATGGTGCTTTTAAAAAAATATTATTTTTTTTTAAAGATAGTGAATTTTCATAGATTAAAAAAAAATAAATGCCAGAAAAGATTTGAGTTCAGAGAGCTTCTGTCAAGCAGGTATAAATCTTAACGAAGCTCTTTCTGCAATAATCTAATGGATTTTTTTCTACTGTAAATAGAAGTAGATTCCCCCACCAGTTAAATATGCCACAAATACTTGTAAGAAAGTTTCCAAAACTTCACATGAATAATATTACTCCTATTTTTGCAGAAGTGACTGTAACAGAAAAGATGTTGATCTCCACCACAGGACAGCACTGGGGGCACTAAGCTGTGCAGGAATAAATTTTCAGACAATCCCAGCAGAAAATAAATCCTGCAGTTCCACACTCTTCTGCAATGCCCCAGGGTGCCCCAGTCCCATGGGACACATCCCAACCGTCTGCTCCAGGATAAAGGATGGTTTGCACCCGCCACAAGGAACCTTCTCTCAAAACCGAATGCTTGGCAATATACACTTCCGCAGTGGCTATGTCAGGGTCAGCAAGAAAGTCTCCCTGCGTTCTCCAAAGGCTCCCCCAAGGAGGGCTTGCACACACTGCTGAATGCGGATTGCTTACGCCTGTGGTGAAAAAAAACGGACTTAAGACTCCCCTTCACTTTATCCAATTTCCAGCAGGCTGCTTCTGCCCCCAATATCAGAAACAGCAAAGGGTTCAACTTGCTGATCTGACAAAATTTGAGTTCGCACTCCACTGGATCAACAGGCTGAACTGGCTTACCACGAGCCTGAGGCAAGGGGGCTCAGGGGGAGGACTGCTCCCTGTCAGCACCAGCAGCTTTTCTGGCTTAAAGTCATTCTACAAATACAGCTGAGATGGTGGCTCAACCCGCATTCTCCAGAACTCATTATTTCTGCTTTTTCTTACTTTCTGAAAAGAAACTGCACTATACCTTATCATAGAGATCAACTCTGTAATACGCTGCTTTGTCAGGAGGTGTTTAGGACAGCAAGCATCCCTCCCAACTTTTATCAGGGCTCCTAAGGAACATCTCCTGTGAGACGACTCCTGGCAGGGTCATCTGCCTTGTGACTGCACTATCCTAACCTGTTATCCTCCAATGCACAGGTAAGAGAAGCTACGCATGGATCACACTATAGCAATGACCTTTTATGATCATTTTTCTCCCCTGCTCCAGTTATGCTGTCAGGAGACAAAGTAACTCAAAACTGTATCAAGACAAGAAAACATGAAGGCTACAGCACTCTGAGGTTTTCAGCATACTTGGAAAGAGTAAAAGCCAAATGGTACAACTCTCTGTTTCTAGCAAAAGAACAGTATTAGAAAGCAGCAGAGCCAACTGGATGAAGTATTGTATATCTCAGGCCCAGACAGTATCACCAGTCTAGGCCAGGCACTGTATTACACTTTGTAAACTCATGTATCACACAGCTAACGGATGACAAACTCCATCAACAGCCAAAGAACCATCCAGGCAGAACAGACTAGGACACAGAGGACATTCTGGGTTTTTCCAATGAAAGAATGGAAATACTATGTTGCGAACAACACATCCTATATGGTTCATCCACACTTCCCCTAAACTAAATTTAAGGAAGTTACCTAATCATAAAATTACTACCTTTTCCTGATTTAAACCTTCTCTCAAATCCCCACGTTGACTTGAACACTCAAGCTCCCACATTAATCAACCCACTGCCTTAGAATTATTTTCATGTTTTCCCATTTCTTTTTCTCCTGTTTCCCTTATTTGGTTTTTCTGTTTTAATTTAAGTTGCAACCTCTTTGGGCATAAAGTATGCCTACCAACGTGACTGTGGATTGACAGGCACAAGAGGCCCCTTATCACTAAGAGGAACCTGATTGCAATGTTCCTATAATGTCAGTAAGTCACAGTACTGCTATAGAGAAGGAAATTACACTAAGTGCTGCGATTCTGGTTGAATTTCCACTTTGACATTCATGAGACATTTTTAACATTCTTGTTTTAGCTCCCTTGGGAACGGGCCACTGTCCCTGGCTTGATATTCCCAGGCACATTTCCTAAACATAGAGTTTTCCCCTGAATGTATCAGCACGTACTACGACCTTAGCCTCGAGCTTACGATTTTTTTCCTAGCACACTGACACTGAGGGAGTCTATAACCCCAGGAAGACTTAGCAGTCCTAAGCTTCCTAAAACATTGCTGTTTCTCTCAAACAAAGGTCATACTGTTTTGTTAAAAGTTCTCTTTGCATGGGAAGAAACAACTCAAAATAACAGTAAATACAAATAAGAAAAGTACGTCTTACCTAATGAGGTAACAGCACTTTCTATTTTCCCAGTCAGGAAGAGATTCACTGTGTAAAGACAGAAAAATAATGTTGATACAGGTTCCAGTGGCACAGGGTGGCAGTCAGTAGTTAACCATTACTACATGTTTGCTGGGGTGTTAATATAAATGCATTGCAGTTTTCTAACAAGAACTTTGCTTATCTACACAGGCAAGTCATGTAATCGACTTTTATCCTTCACTGTAACTATATAAAAAGTCAACACACAATGTTAGTTTACTATCTGTCAAACATGGTATCAAAAGAAACAACTGCCAATCTCTTTTAGGTTGTCTTCTGCAGGATTTTTTTTTTAATTGGGGAAGACAGAGGAACAATTACACTAAAACATTCATCATCACAGCTAGTTACCTGCTTAAATGCTGGAAAATAACTAATGCGACTATTATCTTTAAATACACCTCCCCCACATAAAGCAAAGTTTGTTCCTCTCAGGTAAACATCACCTTGAAAATAACCTGCTAAAGCTAACATGAGTACCTTGACTAATCAAAAGCAATGAAGTTTTCACTGGTAAAAATCAAAACAGGATGAGGCGGTGCTTGCAACACACATCTGACTTATAAATTAGTTTTGAAATACTCTTCACTTTCTCAGAAATCTCCTCTCACAGTATATACTGTTAGAGTGATCTGGTAAGAGTAGTTATTGCCAAAAAAAACCCTTCTCCTGTGTCATTGTTCCTCCAGAGGTCAGCGTTAACATGTAGTTCCACATTAGTTTCCCTGTACATTCTTTAAGGCAATTCTCTATCAAATATAGCATATTTCCTACCTGCTCTCATTTTAGCAGTATTCTAATATCTACAAAGACAGCCTATTAATAAGATGACAAATGTTTAAAAAAAATCACAAAGGTTTAAAAGGTTACCAAAACTTAATTTACAACATCCCAGCCCAAGCACTCACTTTGGCTTTATTTGCATGTGTTAAGTCCTAAATCTTTTTATAGTTGATCTGTTGGCAAGCATTTAGTAAAAAACATCATTAAAAAATGAACAATAGGAGAAGAGAGGAAGAGAAACCGTCCCTGTTCCCAACAGTCACTTGGGAAGCTGCTGACAATTAACACTATTTATGTCTCAGAATAGCATGTATGTCTACGGGCCCCTATTGTCTTCGACACCGTCCAAACACATCACAAAACAATGACCCTTGCCCTGACCACCTTCTGGGATAACTTAAACCAGCACAAGAGGACAAAAGTACCTACCACTACAAAGGTGGAAATAGAAAAGCTAAAAACGATCCCTTAGCTTGCCAGTTCAAGCCCAGTCACAGTTTTCAGTCAGTGGTGGACCTGAACTATCACCAAATTGCAGCAGCCCAGGTGCCTACAGCAGTCGTTCCCTGACTCATGTCTGGATCTCCACAATCTGGATTTTCTCCTTCCTGAAGCCAGAGCTCCAAGACCTAAACGCAGGCAGCAATTTCGGCAGGCGGACAGACTGCTACGGACCTCAGGCTAAGGCCAGGCCCAGCAAACCAGAGGAACCAGATGGCTCCTGCCATCACCCATCACAGAGGACGTCAGGGTACTACCCCAAGGGCAAGGGCAGTGACTTCTTGCTCCTTCTAAGTGGTTGCGGGATTGAGCTTTTAGTAACGCACAGGGAAGGAGGGCAACCAAATGGCAGCATAGGTATGCCGTGGCTTGCGAAGAAACAGGTCTGAACTGCAGCTTTGTATTAATAAGCATTAACATGATGTTCAAAGGACCTTAACAGCACCGATTTTATTACATAATTAATGTACAGTAACATTTGCTATATGATAATAACAACGTGCCATGTAATTATTTCCTTTGTTTCGCAGCACTAACTTGCTCCGATAGGTCAGTACGCGTACCTAGGAGCAACACTACCACTCTGTACCAGGAAACAGCTCGGCTGTTAACTCCTGCTCTGTGACAGAGCAGCGTGCTCGTTTGTCACAAACCTGGGTTCACAGCAATAACAGCAAAACAACATTTTCTCACACGGTATTAAAGCACCACTATTCCTGTAACCATAGTAATATAGTCATAAAGACTGAGAAGAAATTAACCAGTGATTAAGTCACAAATTTAATTTCATGAAAATTAAATTATTTTGGTTTGCTCCAAAGAAAGTACATGAATATACTCTGCGTAACTATTATCACCACAACTGAAAGGAGTATTTGAAGATGCATTGTATGGAAATGCCTGGGTCTGTACTACCATTCAACAATCTTTTTTCACATTTCCTACCTGAATCTTGCCAATGGCCATAACAGAACATGAGCTCCCAAGCAGAGGTTCCCTCGCATGGCTGATGAGGGGCCCCTATGCCCTTTAAATGGAAATAAGTACCATGAAGACAAGGGGCATGACAGGGTGGAATTAGCTGACTCAGAACCATGTTACTTTCTTCTGAGGACTGTTAAACAGCCCTAGTTTGCCATCAGAAGGACGGCGTTCTAGGCAGCTTTGCACGGCAGGCCTGGCAGATACCCAAGACAGACAACCCCCAAAAATGCTTTTTACCTCTGCAAATGCAAAACATCTATTGGCTGCTGGTGCAAGTTCTTTGCTCTCATTTTCAAACGCTTTCACACTAATAAGTCAGCAGTCAAGAACAGTTATTTAAAATAAAGTCTAAGTTTCGCATCAGGTACTTTCCCCAGTGACTGAATAAGCTTACAGTTTCCAGTATCTGTTTTGCGCACTCTCGGTCTCACTCAAGACCATCAAATCAAACCACAAGAGCACTGTAAACCAGCATTTTCTGAAGCACTCAGCTCACAAAAGTGTCAGAGACCCAAAAGAAAGAACAACCTTTCCTTGCTTGTTTTCTTGTCTCTTGTCAAAACAAAACCTTGTCAAAATAAAAATAGGTGAGAGGCTAGGGGTATATTAGAAAGTTTTCTAGATGCTCTTTTTCTTTACTGTTGGGCAGAGTTATGGGAAAGCCAGGGGAAAAAAAAAAAAAAAAACCAAAAACCAAAACAGAAGTGGTTCACTTGGCTTGAACTCCATGTAGGAAACTTACTATGCCATTCATTTGGATTGCTAAATAATTCTCAGGGTGAGGTTTTCAGCTGGGAAAGCGGTTATTTGGATCAAAAGGGAAATTTACATCCTGGCACCTCCAAACCAAATGACAGCTACCAGGCTTTTCCCACAGCCAGGAGGAGAGACATTAGCTTTGCTCTTTTGATTACTTCCTATTTGATAACTTTCTATGTCCTCCAGAATTTCTCAGGAATGAGAAACAAAACGGCCTCATGACAGAACAGTTGCAACAAACCCAGTTCCAATCTTTGGAGCAGCAGTTTACAGATGAGGTCACATACAGCAATGGTCAGTGGCAGTGCATTGATACAGACACCAAACATCACATACAGCCTATGGGAAAACAAAAAGTAAAAGAAAAGAACGGCAAGAAGCAAGAACCAAAAATAAGGATGAATGGAAAGGACAGACAAGCAGGAAGTAAGATATAAAAATAGTTAAAGCAGCAGCATTATATTCTTATGGGTTCACTGAAGCAGAATACCTTACAAGCTTCCCACCTCTCATGTTTCTCAACTTCCACTACTCTCAGTTGTGCAAGGAATAGGAATAATACATTCCAGCTGAAAAGAAGAGCCAGACAGTGAAATTCTAGAAGTCATAGAAAGCAGAAATCTACTAAACTTTCAACCTGGCATTACCCACAGCTACATATAAGAAGCATTCTCACTTAAACTCTGGAGTTTACATAATCTTTTATTATCTTATTAGTCATTTTAATAATAACTGTGTTATTTCTGTTAAATAACAAAAGCTTTAACAAAGATCTGACCTGGCCACAAAAAAACCCCAAGAAATTTAGAGATATGGCAGAAACTTGTATCTTTCTGTAACTTTAAATAAATAACACAGCAGATATTATCCTCATGCTGTGCACATCTCTGACATCCCTTTAAGTCTGGGCAAAAAAAAGTTGTACTAGCTAGAACGGATGTTCAAACTGTTCTGTAGTTTAGAAAGCATTTTACGTTCCACTTCCGTTAATTAAAATAGATATATTTGCAGTAACCACTTTTAAACTTTAGCTTCCTACATTTTTCTAGGCAACCACTGACATTACAGAAAAACACTTTTACAAAAATAGATCGAGCAGTCTGGCCACAGACACCCATTTCTGATCATTTACATAACAAAATGTAACTGTCATTTGGGATTATTAAACGTAAACTCTAATCCACTTTATCAGCAAACAGCTGTGGTTTTAGCACATTCTAGTTGGAGTAGCCGTAACAGTTACAAATAACCATCAGGAGAGTTCAGAGCAGCCCCAGCACCACTCAGCTGGGCGCGATGCTTCTGACAAAGCTGCTCCACCAGAATCTTTCGGCAGCACGCAGGAACGGAGCAGTCGGCTTTAATAACTCCCAATTTCTACGTGCCCCTGTTAAATACGCCGGGCCTTTCACTCGCTCATTCTAGTCACAGGCGTCAACGCTTCTCCCTAACAAAAAACACATCTTCCCTGACAGAAAGGGCTGACAGACTGGAAACCAGTAACACGCTTCATCACGTTGCCATAACTTAACACCTGCTGCGAAGCAGAGCGGGGAGCAATTGCTTCAAGCAGAAGGGAGGGAGGAAAGCAGAATATGGCAGAGAAACGGGGG